CACACACACACACACACCACACACACACACCACACACACACACACACACACACACACACACACACACACACACACACACACACACACACACACACACACACACACACACACACACACACACACACACACTATAAATAATAGTGAAGTCACGTTGTAATAACAATAACTCATCTCTCTCGGTTCTTTTTCTGCTTTGCCAAAAGCCACTGTGTCAAGTGTCCAACTTGGGTCTCTACCTGACCGGAGTCAACGCTGTGTGTGTCCGTCAGGAAACACGCTGTTTACAAGTAGTTCCAGCAAACATCCGCTGATAAACTGCGATGTTAACAACCTCATGATAACCTCATATGTTTTTAACTTAGGATCATACCTGTGTTTAGTCTAGAAAAAGGTAAATGTGTGCATTTTATTATAAAGTTGTGTATATTTACAGACTGTTGCACAAACGAAGAAGCTTATAAACATCAGGTTAAAAACTAAAAGAGCTTTGAAACACAATGAAAGATGTTTGGAGTTATTCATTTAAACAAGTCCTGTTTCTCTTTTGAGGCCAGGAAAAGGCTAGTCACTGTGACCTTTTTACCTGTGCTGGACTATGGTGATTTGATCTATATGAATGCACCTGCCCATTGCCTGGAAAAGTTAGATGCTGCCTATCACAGTGCCCTGAGATTTGTTACTAACTGTAAAGCACTTACTCATCACTGTACCCTGTATGCCAAGGCAGGTCTGCCTTCACTAACTGTACGGAGGCTCAGTCATTGGTACATGTTCATTTACAAAGCCATGTTGGGTAAACTACCTTTTTATATCTGCTCTCTGATCTCTCGATGAATTGAAAGTACATATTGCCTGAGATCTCATGATGTTGTTTTATTAAATGTGCCAAGTGCTAGGACTGTCTTAGGGAAGAAAGCTTTTAGTTGTGCAGCTCCACTAAATTGGAACAGTCTGCAAACATGTTTAAAACTGAGCACTTTGGTTCCCCTGCATCATTTTAAAACTCAGCTGGGTGACATGCTGTTTGATACTCATGGTACCTGTCTCTGTAAATAGAGTTTGTAAACTGTACCCTGTACATTATGTTGTATGTCATCCTTATTGTTGTTCTGTTGTTTTTATGTTACATGTGTAACTAATGTCCTGCAGGTCACCCTTGAAAAAGAGATCTTTTGATCTCAAGGGGCTTTCACCTGGTTAAATAAAGGCTACAAACAAACAAACTTTTTGTCTAAGAGATGCTGATTTGAAACCGTTGTTACATACAGTTACGGCATTTCCTGTTTCTGCTGGAGAGAGGGGAGGCCGTCCCAAAGCTTGCTGCTGTATTTACTCCCTCCATCTGACAGGAGGGAGCCTCGTTGAGCTGCGAGTGTGGCTACAGACGGAGTTCACTCCGTCACGGAGGGGTAGGGTCGAGGGAGTGGTTTGGGATTGGGCCTTATTATACATCCATGGTGTAAACCAAGCCCCCAGGAAGTGCGCCGGAGTCTGATGAGAATATTCGTGCTGGTCAAACGGCGGTACTACACTTCCTTTAGGTTGCTGGGCCCGGAAACACTTTTCCCCATTGACTTACATTGGGAAAGAGTGGTCTGTAACTCATTGGATAATTGTTTTTAAACTAAATAAACTACCCAGTATGAACGTTTGTATAGCCCTTATTAAAAACATTCGTTCCTCAAGTTGTAAAAATGTGCTAATAACGTTATACTGAGAGTTATTTCCCTCTGCATTATGAACGCGCATCTAACCCACGTGTTCAGCACTACATGAGTTTCTCTTTACCTATGGATGCACAATAACAACGGACCATATCACCTTACTGCCAGCCCACGTAGCTGTAATAATGGATATATTCCACATGTTTGCTGTAATTCATCATTTGTAAAATATTATACTACATGGGCTGTATGATGTAAATCTTGTACCGTAAATGTTGTATTAAATAAAGTTAATATTACCGACGTAGATTAACGTTCCTGTAGATTCTTATTGCACTTGCAATTGTTTTAGTTACTTGTGGGCTACTTAACATGAATAATCACAGTTACTATCCTTTTACTCCATCACATTTCAAAAATAAATAGGCTATTGTTATTTTAACTCCACCGCAGTAATTCATCATCAGCTTTACTTTTTAGATAAAGTTTTAACTCACAATTGATCATAACAGGCTTCAACATATACATTTTTATATATTACCAAGTGGTTTCATGTACAACCCACACAAGTATCATGCTAAATGAAGCTCTGTTGCTTGGATATCACTAGATCCTGATGTCAGCGTAATATAAAAGTGCATAACGATTGATGTGTAACTTAGCATAATTTACTAGCTAGCCGCTAGCTGCTAACTGCCCGCCTCGTTAATATAAATCCAGTACCATGCTGTCATGAATGCGCGGTGCTGTTACGTGTACGCAAATTCACGTGCTTAATGTGAAGGAGCCTTTTGGGCGGCGTGGTTAAAGTTGCGCATGCTCTATGAGTGCACATACGGGTACTTCTCAGGCATGCCGGGTAATCTGTGACGTTTTCGACATCATGCGCCATTGAGCAACTCTCATAGGAATGAATGAGGCCCCGCCTCCAACGCTGTATCCAGTTCTTATTATACATCCATGGTGTAAACAGAGCGAGGACCCGCAGCTGCGCTACTTTAGCTGTCCCTAAATGTGCCTGATTAAAATATAAATAATATAACGCAGATTAAGGAAAACAAGGGGAATTTACAACAGTAAATATCATAGATGAGGACGATTTTTTTAAACAATTCAAAATGAAACATTTCTGAGATGTGAAGAAAACGGACCAACATTCGACATATTCGACTTAAAACCGTTTCTCTACACACAGACCTTCAATGGTAGGCTATATTATCAATGATATCAAAGTGAAGAAGAGACTCTACAGAAGGCTTTTGTTCTGCATTGTTGACCATTGGTCTTTTATACACCTTTCATATACAGGTGAAGATAAATTCTGCATTCAGACATCCAACAAATAAGTGCGTTGAGGTGGAGTCAGATGATAATTACTACAGATTTAGAGATCCTAAATGAGCTTTATCCATTAGGAAGGGCAACAGGTTTAAATGCCTATTGTCAAATGACGCTATTCTCCAATATTTCATTAAAGGAACAGTATAAAATGTACTTGCCTGAGATAAATTGATGGATCAGTGATCAACAACAGCAACTGTTCTACCATCATCACCTATTATGTCCTCAACATAGCTAGTATTCATAGCAATAGTCCTATCCCCAATCTCTCTCTGCAGAGGGCATTAGGCCTATCAAATCACTGTGTGTAAGCTGTAATGTAATTGCTATGGGCTCTGTGGCCATAACATGATTGCTGTAATCTATTTGTGGCGCAACAGGTTACCCTGGGACATTTCCATTATAAACAGCTTGTCAAGTCACACACATACAATGACACACTCACAGGCTGAGATGCTGCATGATGTTGTACAGTACAGTACTTGAACATGTTAATTACAGGTTGCTGAAATAAGGACAAATTGAAACAACTGTTGAATTGAACGTATGAAGTCACACAGAACCTTTAGAATAGACTTTTGAAAAAATAAAAACATTATGAATGTGAACTTAACTCAAATTGTCAAAGTCAACTTTAATGTCAATTTTTCTGTGTGTTTGTACAGACAGAGATCAACATAACGTTTCCAACAATCCAAATACAATAATACAAATATACATAAATATGTATATCCATTGTATTGTATTTGTGCTAATTAACTTGCTGAGATATCAAATATATAACTGTTCAAGTCATTACAAAGTACTTCTATCACCTTTTTTGCTAAAGGTATATTTTCGTTTTGTTAAATCTTTACACCCACCTTCTTATCACATGTCTAAAAAGTCAGGTGCAGAGTGACATATCGAGATATCAGCCAAGATAATCACAACATCAAAGTTGTTTTGGAAATCAACCAACTTCTAAACTGCATTAGGCATTCATTGAACTATCTGACAGTGTGATGGGACACAGAAGACAGAACATCACCCTTCTGGCTTGCATCTGTCGCAAATCATCCCTCTATCAAACAAAGAGAAAGCGCGGGTCAGGGGGCTCGTGTGGCTGTGGGTGTAGTGTGCAGGAGATGCAGACAGAGATGAAGGTCAGGGATTTTTTTTTTTCTCCGCTCTGGCATTTTTCTTATGTACAGCTGCGCCCAAACAATCTTTCAAAGAGCATGCAGTATATTCTAAGAGCTTGTGAAATGCAAAAAGTGTCTGGGAAAAAAAAACATCCTTTTGGAATAAAAAAAAGAACGACTGTTCATGAATACCTTTTTGATATTTAACTTTAAAATAAAAACAGATGTATATAGAGTCATACGTGTTGATGTTTTAATTCATTGCCGCAAAATAATGCTGATCTTAGCTTAAACAATCAGTTTTACCTTTGACACGGAACATGAGACATAATCAATAGCACAGCTGAAAGGCACAGTTTGACTGCTAATACAATAATTAATCATAGTCTCAGATGACCACAGGGAATGTCTGCAGCGCCAAGTCATTTGCTTTGTGGTGAGTGAAGCACTGCTCTGGCCTTGAATGGTTTTCATTTAGAGGATCAACACTGAAAACAACAGTTTAGCCCATTCAGCTGATTCGGCTTTTAGTTAGTTCAATGTATTGATGGTTTTGCTCTTTTTATGGCATGCGTTGACATTTAGAAAAATACAGGATATACAAAGCCATCTTGTCTGACAAAAATGTTAACCTTGTATTAACTTTTTGCTGTCACATTATAACTTATATTTTCGTTGGCTCATGGCTTTTAGCTTTGAAAAAGATGAGACTGCAGGTTATCTTTAAAAAAAGGAATAGTTCCATGATTTATCTTTGATTAACAGATAAAAACAAACCCAAACCAACTGCTCCACCAACTACTGTCACACATGAGATAAAATACTGTGTCGGTATCTGCCTTACTTTTAGGGTCTTAAGGAGCAAACTTACCGGACCGTTGCAGGTCAAAGAGTCATCGTCAGCTTGCTCACACTGGGCGTCACACTCCACACACACTGACCCGTTGGCATACTCTCGGATATCCCTGAGAGACAGGAAGACAGGGAAGGAGGGAGGGATTAGGAGGGTGAGAAATAGAGTGATACAGGGGAGAGAGACAAGAAATTATTTGGGAAATAGAACAATAACAAGGCTTTGTGTCCTCAGAAGAATATACTACAGTAAAAGTGAAGGGTGGTTGAAAATAATCTAAATGCAATGCAGCACAGAGCGAAAAACAAGTAGGCCTACATGTTGTTATATTTTGACTGAATCACAATATTTGTATTATATAATCTGCACATTTAGTGGAATTGCCTCCTGGACAACTTGTGCAAAAGACAGAACAAATCAATGCCAGTAAAAAAATGTATGTACTGGCATTGGCAAGAGTGGCAAGAGTGCTCTCTTTTAAGAGCTTTCTTTGTAAATAAATAAGAACTAAATGAAGTTCAGGATGTCATTTCCAGAGCAAAGAAGATGGATGGATGGACTGAGAGAGAAAGAAGAATTATTCAAAAATGATTAGACGTGTCTGTTGCCATCTGTTGTGTGAGCATCATATCTCACAATGTTTACCTTATAATTACAGGTTATCAAATGTGGTCATTAAAGGCAGTCTCGCACGCTCAGATGCACACACATACATCCCTGATGCATCCAGCATTGTAGCTAATTAGCTAACTGTAACAGTGATACCATCAGGCTGGGGGTCAATGCAGTTGAAAGGTGCAGTATATGTAAGGGCTTTCAAAAATCAATTAAATTAAGTGCCTTGTTATTCAATTTATGAAATCCCATTATAATAGTAAAACACCAGAGTCTGCTCCAAAAGTCATTCAATCTGACCACAGTGTGGGTGAGATGGCACTCGACTTTGTCGCAACAGGACAAGGAGAATGACGTTTGGGTACTTATTTTTTGGTCAATGACGGACAACAGAATGTTCCATTTTTTTGTCATTGGTGCAGTGGAATCTAAAACAAATTAGAATGAATTATGCTTCATGTGGCCTTCATAAAACCTTCCAGGAGGCCGGAGAGGTGAGCCTTTGTCTGGGTCTGTGCCGGTTGAAATAATAAAGGCTGCAGTGTAGCTGGATGTTATCACTGACACTTAATACTCATACGCTATTCCATGATTTTCTCCTGTCTTCTGCTTTTCTGCTTCTGTTAAGGCACACAAATACAGCATCACATTTGTAGTTAAAGATGGGGTAGGTAATTCACTTCAGAAACACTTTTTGTTATATTCCATGGAATGCTCTTAACATCCCGATAGCAATGATTATATTTAATGCTTTGACAATAAATACATAAAAAAATGTCATCTGTGGAAGCCGTAGTACTGTAAAAAGCACGACTAATCATTTTAGCCGGGCCGGCTAAAATGATTGGATGGCCTACCTGCCTGTCAGCCTTCCATCTGTGCACAAACTTATCTCGTGCCCTCATTGGTCATGAGCTCTGGCTCTGTAAGGAAGTCTGAAGGAAGGGGCAGTTTTTTTTCGGCTGCGTACTTTCAAATTCTAGCGCACTCGAGCTGGTTTCTCCATTCTTACCTACCCTACCTTTAATAATATAGCATTTTATGGATTTCATACAAAAAAAAAACATTGCATTTCAAATGGCTTTGTTCCCACAAACTAAGAAAAACAATATGTCTGGCATTTTAAACAGTAAAATCCATATTATTTGAGGTCCAAGCAAAAAAGCAACAAGGAGCTTGCATTGCCTTAGACTAAGGCAATGCAAGCTCCTTTTTGCTTTTTTGCTCGCTGATAATGTTGTGCAAAAACATGTTAAATAAACCACTAAGGTTGAATTAGGACAATATTAACCTTTAGTTCACTAAATGAATAAAGGGGCTTCCTTGTGTTTTAAGTGCTCGGCAATTATTAAACTCAAGTACCTTTATTCTCCTTGCTAATCATTTGCCACACCTTTAGTGCCAAACCAATCCACATGGGAATAAAGGCGAACTTGAACTGTTGGGCAACATAACATTTTGATTAAACCAGCGATAGATTTTGACACAAAATAAGGCACACACAGCGATGAAATATGACTTAAGTTGAAAGCTTGACTTATGACACACATGTGGCAATGTTTTCATTCAGTGAAGCTTTATATTGGAGAGATGAGGTACAGGTTGGATTGGTTACGCTGGCAGTGCGGGGGGTGTTGACGTGCAGGTGGACAGGTAGGCAGGGCGTGGCCCCGTGCGCAAGCAGTGACTGTGACACGCAGTGACACGCCTAGCCCCCCTGCCCTAACAGCCCCTTCTGGTCCTCCTCATTCCTTTCTACTGTGGCCACCATTAGCATTTGATCAAATACAGACTTAAAAACATCTAGTTCCAGCAGTTCTGCAGAGCAAAAAAAATCCTAAAATGCTATTAATGAAACTCTCCAGGTAGCGGATCCAGTCATTGCATTTTTTTTAGAAAAGGATTACATCAAGGTAAAGTTCCTTTTCTAGTCAAGGGCCCCCTATTGTTTTGAATCTCTACAGGGGTGCCTTTTAAACCAAGAATCACCACCACGTCTTTAATTTGTTCTTTTCACCCCGCGGCTCTTAAATATTATCCATGGTAAACAGAACAATTACTGCAGGATTTGAAAGCTGAAACAAAGAGCCTAGGGGTGTTTTGAACCGGAATATGTTTTGATGTACAGTAGTGCAGCAGGGTTTTTTTAACAAATCAGAATTATTGAAAAATGTCACCACTCCTATTCTTAGGTAATTATGTGGAGTTAAGCATGTTTAAAAAAGTGTCCTTGACCAGACAACTAAGACCAATATAAGAAAGCATTATCTATCAAACTAGGGAAACTGGAACAACCTACAGTGTTTATTATTATGTATACTTATCACTTTAGATCGTATGTCTTAATGACGTCTAAAAAAACATTTCACCTAAAATAGTCTATTCAAGCAGAGTTTTTCTAGAACTAGATACCATTTAAACTTTTGATCAACACTTCAATTGATTTTACTGTAAAACATTTGCAGCACAGACCCATGAACCTTTTTCTGTTAAAGATCAGCATACAATTCAGAATTAATATGTAAGACTATCCATTGTAAAGCCCTTTGTTAGATTTTCATAAAAGCTGCCTTTTAAGTGATTTCATCTGAGGATTACGGTAAGTGATCAGCACTTAATATATGTGATTACTTAATTCAAGGAAACAAATATTGGTTAGTGCACTGAAAGGTAATTTGATAAAAGCCAAATTCATACTGCTTCCTCCATCACAGACAATGAACCAGCAACACTTCAATCCAAGATCCACCTGCCTTAGAGTGCTGATTATAACCAAAAAGCACTTACACTAAATGTTTTCTTGACTGGCAGTGAGTTTCTGAGCTGAAAAGTATATGTTTGATTGGGTTTTCTTGCAGCAAAAGTCGATTAGATTTCCTCTTGGCAGTGACACAATGCTACATTTTCTGGGTGAGATGAAGTACACACAGTTTGCTCCAACCACGTCCATCACTCACTGGAAAAGACACTTTAATTTATTTTGCAACAACTGCAAGGTTTGTAATTGAAAATGCATTGTGTTGCAGAGGGACAGGGAGGAAAGGCGGTGGACATGTTGATCTATAAGGTTATTTCTTTTTTAATTGACCTATGGTGTTATGTTGAGAGTTGCAGTGATATTACAGCTACTCATATTGAGTCTCTAAAAGTACTGAAAGGTATGTCTGCTTGTATCAATCCAAGGTGAGCTGACTTTTTAAAAAATTTTTTTTTAAATTGCACAGTAGTCAGACAGACCTGAAATAAACCAGACTGTGCACTGAAAAACTTGGCAATTCTGTCACCACAGAAAATAACAACTTTTGTATACAGTTTGAACAATTGCAGAAAAAGCACAATGAAAGCTTGCAGTGTGGTGTGCTTTATTTTGTGAGTATCACTAAGATGAAGTAAAGCACAAGCTGAAGGTTGCATTAAGTATTTGTGTGGGTGAACCTAACATGTTATTAGTACTTTAGGACAAACACAAGAACATACATTTTAATATAACAATAAGGGGTGTATGTGTATATGCACACTGTAACTCACCCTTCATAAAGGTTGCAGTTTTTCACACAGGTTCGCCCACGGCTGAAGAATCTGCAGGCGAGGCACTGATCTGGGCCAGGACCCCAACAGCCGGCGTCAGAACACAGCAGGTTACACACCATGCGCTCCTTAGCTGCTCAATGCACACATAAGCACAAAGAAACCAGTGTAAAAACAAAGAAATGACATCCATGTAGAAGCAGTTGTGCATTGCTGACTCGGTGCAGATGCAGAGAGTAAATCCTAATTTGGCTCCAATTAGCCAGATATAAAATCATCCAAAATAGTCACATTATTTATGAAGAGGAACAGGGCTAGATGAAATAAAGCATGCCATTTGCAAGGGTTTATTTTCACATTAAATATCTCTGCCTCTAGAGAGCAGCTCCTAATTTGCGGTGTTCTATAAAAGGTGTGTTTTTCTGGGTACGACTTTTCTTAACAATGGCAGGGATAATTGCAGAAAGACGGAGTAATAGGTGTAGGGCTCAACGACACTGCTTTTTTTATGCAGTGAATCAAAAATTGTCAAATGATATGTATCCAGCTGTCCCAAACAATTACCCTCATGGATGAACTTAAAGAAGACCAAGTTCCTGAAACAAAATGCTCTCATTTGATCGCCGAAACAGTTACACTTTTTAAAACATTAATGATCTCTGTTCAGTCTATGGACTTTGATGGCTGTCTAATGTGAGCAAACTGTATATTCTGTGTTGAACCTATGCATAGTGTGTGTGAAGGACTGTGTGATATGGCAGATAGCCATGAAGTACACTTCATTATAAAAATGCTAAGTTAACAGTGAGTGACAAAGCACTATTGGAAACTAGCAAGCACCTGCAGCTGCCATGCAGACATTTTTATTTAACTTGGACTTATAGAAAGGAAGCTGAAAATCTATTTATAACCTCATTTAAAGGCTTTAATTTAAAACACAGCCTTAACAGCTCTTACTCTTTTTTGTTGTTGTCAAACGGCTTGAATATATTGAATATTAGAAATTCAATTTGATTAGTCCAATGACAACAGTATCTGCTTTCAACAACCAAATCCATAGCACCAGAAATTCAAATTCAATTCAAATTCAGCATCGAGAACAAATAACGTTTTGCAAAGTTATGTGAAGCTTTTACAAAAATCAACACTTTTGATTTACAAAAAGACAAGTATTAAAAGAGCCCACTCACAGCGAACATCCTATGCTGCTCTCGCTGTTTCTGCCTCACAGTTTCTCATATAGTTCCAACTACCAACAGACTCCATTACAACAGGCCATTACATTTCCACTTTTCCATTTTCTTTTTGTGTCTGGATCTCTTATCTCTCCCTTTCTCTCTCTCACCCGTTCAGCTCCGTTTCCACAAAGGTTGCTAAATCTGAGAGCATTACAGTGACAAAATGAGTGTTCAAGTAACGCGGTGAGAGCACTGCACATACACTCAGAACTTTTACCATCCCATCTACGTCCCACTTGTCGGGATTTTAAAAACATCCTCTCCTCTCCATCTTTATATAGATGGATACACAAAGCTGTTTTCAAGGCCCTGGACACATGTGAGCAAGGGGCCATGCCTCAGAGCCAGCAATAGCCATGTTTAGAATAATTAAAAAAGGGAGACAAAAAGATTCAGAGACATGGAGAAAAAAGTGTTACTTAGAGAGCAGAAGATGAAAGCGTTGCCTTGAACAAGAGAAAAAGAAAACACCTCAGCCTCCAGCACTCTATTGACCAGGCAGAAGAAAGAAGAGGAGATGAGTGATGTAAAAAAGTGAATAAACAAGGGAAGAGGAAGCGTTGGATGGCTTTTTTAGGAAACAGCAGCTGCAAGATCAAAAGAACTTCAGATATTGCTGACATGGTTGGAAAACAACAGGCCATGAGGCTTGTGCTGTCAGGTGCCTTTAACAGTCTCAGGGGCCACCGACCATAGACGCATTTGTTTGTCTTTTTGCATGTTAGAAACGAGTTGGCGACACTAAGACTGTGAGATAATGTTTGTGTAGCAATAATACATGACCTTTCTCTTTCTCAACTCGGAGGGAAGTCGCTGCTATGCCTTGTGAACACTCCGATAATGCCTCTCCACGTTACCTTTCTTTGGCAGAGCGACGCTTGCTTTACAAATAAGGCAAATAACCTTTGAATGTGACATCACAAAACAATATTCTTCCTCCCATTCTGGGTGGAAGTGGTATGTCTTTAGCTTCTTGCACAACTCATTTTGTTGTTTGTCTCTTGTTTGTCTCTTTAACTTAATTTGAGTTTTCCCAGCACTTGACTGATTATGTATCGCTTTGCATTCTGGGTTAACAGACTGGAAAGCGATAGGTCGCTTTTTCTGTCAATCAAGTAAACTCCTGAATTAAGTGGCAGGGAGGCCAAGGGAGGAGGGACCAAAACCTGTTTTGTCTATTTTAACGGAGCTGGATTTTTTTTTTATGAATGACTCGCAATCTACCATCAAAAACCTTTTAGTTCACTTTCCCCGACCTGTCAAATGATGCTAAATGATCAGTGAAGATCATTTCAAAAACAGGGTGATTTTCATTTAAAGCAGGCAGACTTAAGGAGAGCGCCCTGTCAAAACAGAACATCATTTTCAGATCCAAAGCTGTCAGCAGAATTACTCAACTCTAGTTTATAAGTCTACAGCCAGACGTGTTTGGTCTTGTTGGGTGAGCAAAGATTTAACTTATTTGACAACAAATATCAATTAAACTAAACTATCAACTCAAGCTGATGAAACTTTTGGAAGAGTGTTGAAACCTCTTCAACCTCACAGCATCAATGCATTGGATTATTTGCATTTGACCTCTCGCTGGATGCATGAGGCTATCACACCAAGTGAACAGTTTTGTAATCCTGATGTCACTATCTATTGCCAGATAAGTTTTCACAAGGGTGATTGAGTTTATGGCCCATTGATGGAAGTATTGCAATATTTATTTATTTTCAGTATTGAACTTGGACTCTATGATGACATTGCTGGAAACATGCTGTATTAAATTAAGTAACGTAGTGCATATGGAAGCCTAACATTATTTGGATGTGCCTGTCAAGAGGCTATGCAACTGTTGGGTGTCATTATGCAGTTTATCAAAAGTACAAAGTTGAATTAAGCCACCTTAAGGAAAAATGTTTGCCTGATCAGAAGAGTTTTCAGAAGTTGCTGACGCACAACCATTTTATTTAAATCTGGATGATGTGTCCATCAGACAATCTGAAGCAGGTGGATTCTTTTCCTGACATATTGTAACTTGTTTTTTGTATAAATAACTTAATTTACATTTCAACTTTGTGCAAAAAAGGCAGAAATATTAAATGTTTCTCTTACCAGCTGTAGGGTGTTGTGCAAAATCAAACAGGACTGACATCTTAATGATTATACATGAAATACATGAAACTATTCTTAACGCAATAGCACATAGAATTAGCATATAGAAAGTACAACTGTATACAACTGTTATCCCTGTTTTCAGGTTTACCTAAATAATTCTACATCACATCGACATACACTGAATAAATGGCCACAGGCAGTCTTCTCCTCTGTCTCTGCTCCATAAGGGTGTGAGACCTGCCCTTTTCCAGTCCCCTGCTAAGCTCAGTCAAGTTTACACACACACACACACACACACACACACACACACACACACACACACACCACACACACACACACACACACCACACACATCACACACACACACACACACACACACACACACACACACACACACACACACACACACACACACACACACACACACACACACACACACACACACACACACACACACACACTACACACACACACACACACACACACACACACACACACACACACACACACACACACCACACACACACACACACACACACACACACACACACACACACACACACACACAACACACACACACACACACACACACACCACACACACACACACACACACACACACACACACACACACACACACACACACACACACACACACACACACACACACACACACACACACACACACACACACACACACACACACACACACACACACACACAGCCATGTCAAGGAGAGCAGTGTGTGACTCTTGAGTCTCGCCCAAGTCTTCAAAGTCACTGAAGAGAAAGAGTGTGTGCCCAACACTGAGGAACTGCCCACGGGAACCGCGAAAAGGGGCCAACTCAATAATGCAAATACTGGCTCATTAATGAACCCTATACACACATGAATAATGTAATTAATTCAGAACTACACGTATTTAGCTAATTATTTTTTTGAATGGTTCTGTTGGGAATTATTCCTATTGCGTAATATTTGTTATTGAGTTGTCTTTAGAAATGAGTTAGATAATAATGTCCACTCTTCCGACAGACATAAAGTAATAGAAATAACAAGTTTGTTTCTGCTATTATATGTTCAGTGCCTATGCTGCATTCTGAAGGAGCAGAGTGAAGTTATAAAAAGAATAATGATTTCCTCAACCAGAAAACATTATATCTAAGAGCCTTAGCAGAAATGGGAGCTTTTACTTTCCTTCAAAACTTGGAGCATCGATCTAATGGTCAGAGAGTTGTCTAAAGTTGAATTTGAGTCAGGTTAACAATCTCAAGTCAAACCATTAGTGTCTGACTCCGCTGCTAAAGCATACATCTCAAACAGAAAGCAATAAAACAGTCAAACAAAAAACACAAAAATGTTCTCAATGGTGCCTGCGGCTTCACAACTGAGGTTAAAAGCAAGACTAGAACACAAAGAATACATCACAGATTAGAGCAGGGATTTCACATTTTATCAACCTTTTTAGGGTTTTAGAGTGGCCCGTCTACACTACAGGCATCGAAAAAGCTTGAAGCTGGGCGTGTCTGAAGCTTGGCGATTTTTTGCGAGCAACGCGACCAACAACCAATCACATGAATCTCCCGCCCCCGACATACAAAGCAATAGCAATGTTAAAACGAAGTAAACTGGATATCAAATCCCCAAACAGGCGAAAACCTACCAGTTTCACCCACTGTCTCTGCCACCTCCCTCCATGCCTGGTTCCTCCGGTTTGTATCCAGGTAAATAGTTCTGGTCGGAAAGAACCGGGTGATTTGCTACCGTAATTTCTCGTTTGGAATATGAGGAA